ATTAAAGCCCCCAAGCAGCAACAAAGGAGGAAATGTTAAATGAAATGCACAGTGCTGTGCTCAGAGCGCTGGTGGTTATTGCTGCATCAGCCAGGCTGAATCTGGAAGCTGTGTCAATAGATTGGCAAGTGAGACCTCTCTCTGAGGATCGGCAGTTCTAATCCAATACTGCACCTCCAAAGGATGACAGGGAGCACTTTTCTATGGGCAGACTTGTCTTTCAGAAACTGAGCTCCTGTCCACACAGTGGAGATTTAAAGATCCCCAGACACTTGCTGGAAAGAGCTGTCTTGAAGCACCATGGCATTGACAAGGGATGAAATCCTGTGTTCTGCTTCACTTCCTCTTTTCTATGGCCAGGTTGGTGTGTGCTGTACTGCTGTACTGCTCTGAGTGGTGCGCTGGCCCGGAGGCGGCCCAGACATGCCCGTGCTTCATCATGCCAGTTTCGGTTCTGTTAGGGCTTTAACTCTAAAGAGCTCAAGAAACCGGATGAGTTTCAGTTGTGGCCTTGCCTACAGGCAAACCTTAGCCCAGCTTTCTGCCTGCATGTGGCCAAGGGTCAGTGAGAGTGATTTCCCAGCGTCACACAAGGAGTCAAGTGCACAGACACAGGAACCCCCATGTTCCTAGGCTGAAGACCCTGTTAGTGTCTACTGATGAGCATGAAAACGGGTGCCGAAGGGAACCGAGGAGGCAGCGGGTTCAGTTTTAGGTCAGACTATCAACGTAGTGCAACAAGACTGTGGATGATTTAAAATCAAGTGGGGAGAAAACAATGCAGCTCATCTACCAAGAGGGAGAACAACAGGATAGTCAGAACATTGTATCAGAGGTACAGAGGTAATATGGCACTAACAAGCTCCAGAACTATTCTATCCTTGCTCTGCATTAGTTACACAAGGTGATCTGGATGAGATGGAAGGTAGTAGCTGTGCTTCTCTTTGCTCTGAAGACAAGGGAAACCTGAAAACATGCACTCGGGGGGGCCGGGGATCTATAAAGGCAGCTGGGCAGCTGTGGTCAGTGACTATTGAGATGCATGGTTTTTGCTACCCAAGGCCTGTCACTCTGTGGGCTTTCTGGACATGACATCAGGGACAGACACGCCCAGGAATATGGGCCTCCTCCAATCCCAGCTCTGTGTTCAATACGTCCTCTGCCTCTGAGGTTTTGGAAGGACTGTGGGTCAATGTGTCCTGTCCCTGGGAAACACCAGAAAAGGAGGCCAAAAAGGAGCATCTGGAATGGCTTGTCCTCGGTTATACTAGCTGTGCATTAGAGACAGAGAAACAAGGATCACACTGGGGTCCCCCTGCCGCAAGTCAGGCCTGCTGTCTGTCAAGTTAAAAGAGCCCAGTTAAACAACAGATCTAATATTACAATAGGATTTCTCTCCCTCTGAACTGATTGCAAACTGTGCCGCACTCATCTCATTCATTTACTGTACCAGCCGTGTCAAGGCATGTGTACAGGAGTAGTGAGCCACATGGCTACAGGTGTGAACCACACAACAGGAGATCATGCCTTCACAGAGAGTGACACTGGTGGAGAAACCGCATCGCGCTACAGTGCCCACATCACCTCTGCAGGCAGCACCGAGCTGCATGAAGTTCTTACTGCTGCAGTGGGATTCAGCTCACGTCCTTAGCTGGGCTCCTTTTCTGTTTTGATTCGTTTTGTAACATGAAACAAATATTCAGAGAATCCCGCCTCCCCCCCCAAAATAACTTAATAATTCATAACTTCTTTCTTTTCTCCATTCTCGCTGCCCCAGCTAGAGCAGAGCACGTGTGTGTATGGGGGAGGTGTTGAAATTTCAGAGTACCGGCCCCTCGGCTGCTGTGGCTGCTCAGGGGGGCCTGGGCGCAGTCGGACTTAATCCCAGGGTCCGCTGCACGCGCCACACCCCTGCGCTCGGCCGCCAGCCTTTACACCCTCACAGAGAACATCTGGAGCATCACGCTCAAGGTGTCAAGGTACCAAGGAAACATATTGTAGATTGAAGAGCAGCGCTGTGCTGTGCTCAACTCTGCCTGCTACCCACTTCAAGCGCATTCAGGGCATCCAGAGATAATATTTCAATTATTGCATTGGGTGGACCCTGTGACACATAAAAGATCTAATCCGGGCTTGACCGCGTGCATTTGAGTCAGTAAGAAATGCAAGACGTTGCTCTGCAGCGAGAGAGTTTAGCTGTTCCTGGAGTAATATATTACTGACTCCTTCAGTTCATTATTCATTCATTTAGATGGTGCTTCACTCCTGAAGTTTTCTACATGTTAGGAGGGTGTCCTGTACTGAAGCGCAGCTCCCAGCTGGGAGACACACATCAAGCCAGCCAGAGGCGTGAGATAATATCGCCCCAGCTGCAGCAGAGGGACACTTTAGGCTGAGGCCTGTTTGTTGAATCCTGGGGTGGGATTCAGGACGGACGTTTATCATCTCCACTCTTCCAAACAGCGCCAAGGGAGTAGCTGCAGGACCTTGGTTTGTACGTTGTCTTGAGAGAGGCGTCATCATTTAGGTGAGACATTACACCAGGGCTATCCAATCCGAGTCCTGTGGGATCAGGTTGTCTGCAGGTTTTATTTTCAAATCAACACTGAAGGAGCTACGTCTTGTCATTAATGACCTCATTGGATCAAGGCAACACTTTCTTTCAGCTTTTAAGCACTGCCACTGTAAGAAGAGTTCTGATGGCACAGCCATTAAAGGAGTTAGCCTGAGAGCAGGCTGTGATCACGGGTCCGAGCCTGTGTCATGTCACCACGCTGTGACCAGGATCCCCCATGCAGTGGACGTGCATGATTGACTGGGCGCAACAGAGAGCAGCGTGGGATTATTCAGACAGAGCTGCCTCGCAGATGCACCCCACCGCCAGTCAGCCCTGAAACTCCTGCACAAGACTGCACTTCCTGGGACGTGCTGCAAGACGAACGGGTGTGAGGAGCCGCCCTGCACTCCTGCACTGCCCCCTGCCTGAAATCACAGGGATTGCAGCTGAAGGCGTGAGGAACACAATGTCGGATATTCCCCACTGGCTGAAAGAAGAGAAACACACGGGCCCTCCAGTACCAGTTCTGGGCAGGATTAACTAATGTCCCAGCTGAAGAATGGCACCACCTCAACACGGGCGCCCCCAGACACCCTCCGGAGGTTTGGACCGCTCCAGAGAACAGAGCAACACTGGTCCACCGGAACCACTTCACAGCAGCGACCCGTTTTCCTCAGAGATCTCTCAGCAAAGGAGATCTCACACGAGCAGGGGGCAAGGTTTCAAAGGGGTCAAGCTGATGGCAGTGATGTCAAAAAGACAAAACAAAAGAAAAAAATGACACTCAAGTAGACAGGTACAGTACAATTGAAGTGGTGTATCAGGTGGCCCTTGAAGTTTCATTCTAAGGAACAGGCTTCACAATCCTACTCTTATTAAGCTCTTTCCGACACCCTCATAGGCCCAAAGTACAAAAGACACTCTGTGCCGACTAATGACTGGCCTTCTGATTGGAGTTTAACAGCAGGCACAGACGACAAGGACAAGAAATCCAGATGATTACTGTTGCATTTCAGAAACCACATCAGAACAGCCTGCATGCAAGTTGCTCATGTCCACCCATTTTATTTCATACGTCCGTCACTTCTGAAGTTTTAGAAGCAGCTGAAACAGTAGCTTTTTTTCCCAGCCCTGCAGTGCAAGGTAAAGGAGATCTTATAAAAAATAAAGTAGATCAATCAAATGGATTGTTTACCATGATCACATTAAAGTATCCACAATGCAACTAGATGGAAAAACTGATACAGGGAGAGGAGAAGGTGGGAGAATCTTTTCTTATTGTGTGACTTATTATGCAATAAAGAGTGTTCACCTACCCCTCATAATTTGGGTTCCCTGGGCACACTGTTATACAGCCGTATCATGTCCTGTTTTCTGACCAGCATCTTTCCTCAGATGGCCATATGCAGCTTAGTGGCCATACATATACGATGTAACTGATAGCCAGTGCTCACCGCTCACCATTCAACACAGTGGTTTCCAGTCCTGGCCCTGGTGACTCAAACACCTGCTGGTTTTTGTTCCAGCCGAACACTTGATTACACAATCAAACCACTTCATTGACTACTATCATAATAGTAATAACAATAATAATAATAATAATAATAATAATAATAATAATAATAATAATAGTAATAATAATTTAATAATTAAATTATTTGATCTGTTGGAGCTTTAACCGCTGTAGCTATACAATGTATATAATGAAATCTCAAACTTGTGACTAGAAACAAAATGCAAACATTCCAATGAAGCGACTTCTTAGGTCAGTTAAGGCTTCGATGATGTATTGTTGTATTATGGTATTACTATGCTGTACGGTGCTGTGTTGATTGTCCCAGGCTGCTCTGGCTCCGCAGTTTCCCTTGCGGGATTAATAACGAATCTGTCTATGTAACTGGGGCGGGCAGGCGTGTGGATCACCAGGACCGGTGATGGAGTGGAGCAGATCAAGAACAAGAGCCTCAGTCTGAAATGCAATGGCCGG